AAAAAAAAAAAAGAAGAAGATTTGATTGAATAAGGAATTTGATGGATAATTCCTTCAGGGTTGTTGCAGGCTTTCCCATTTTCTTTATGCAAGAAATTTTACTTAAGCCTCGTTTTGTATATCAATTCAAGGGTGTGGACTGTCTTATGTATATAGTCAATTAGCTACTCAGTGTACTTGTATTGGAAAAACCTGTACCACCCTAGTACAGGTAGATGGCAACTTTATTGAAACAAATGAGAATACTTTGCCGGTTTATAAGGACTGAGTCATAATACACATAGAGCACAACCCCATGATGTACACCTGGTTGGATATATTTAGATTGACCAAAGGCAGTAAACAAGTGTTCAGTTTTACAGAACATCCAAAATCTAGAGCTAGAATGGCAACTTTATTGAAACAAATGAGAATACTTTGCCAGTTTATAAGGGGAACTTTTTTTGTATGTGTATAATCTGTTCAGAAGGAACCACTGCTTTGTGTAATGGAAAGGCTTGGTCTGCAAAGCAAGAGAACACATGTTCAAGTCTGAGAGTGGCACCTTTATGAAAAAAAGAAATATGCCAAAGTATAGGACTGTATCTAGTCTACCCCCCCCCCCAAATACACCAGATAGATGGAACCAACGTTGGGCAATGGCCCTTTCTTGATCTTTCTTATATTCTGTCCAGTAAAATAAACATGCATACATGCTCATCTTTAGAAAACATATAACTGGTTTTTTATAATACTGATCATGGTATCTTTCAGAAGCAACAACCAGAGATCTAATAAACCTTGCATTTCATCCTTTGCAGCCTGCCCATCAGCTCTATTCATAAAAGCAACAAAACCACAGTTCCTTTGCCTCCTCCTCTCCTCTTCTGTCCGAGGCCACATTATCTTTACACTAGCAATGGGCCCAAATCTTCCAAAAGTCCTCAAGAGGAAATTCTCATCCACCTTATAAGATTCAGGCAACACAAATACATATTAATATTTTCATCAAACTCCAAATTGCAGAAGAATCACCAAACTAAAGCAAAAGATAATGACACAAAAGAATATTATGGTGTCACCTGTGGTGAGAGATTTCCAACGTATAGATTTGTAGTTTGAGGGTCCCCATCATCAAACGATCCAGGAAGCTTCCCGCTTGGATCAAAATCATCTGGAAGTTCATCAAACCGGCTAGGTGGCTGCACAAAGAACCTCAGTTTTCTAAGGGTCATACATACATTCAGTGAAGATGTGATAAAAACCCTCACAAAACAAGAAATAAAACCATACTGGAGTCACAAAATACTCATTGAGTGAAACAACAACAATAATAACAATGATAATAATGCAGTGGAAACAGCTGCTCCGGCCAGGAGTTGCAAGAAATAGATTGATTAACCCATTAAGGTCTGTTTGCCTCTCATAGTTTTGGAATGCCAAGTAAATATCAGAAACAACTTACAGCGGAATTTTCACTATGGCGCCCTTCCCGCCTTAGTTCACGCTCCTGATTTCGCCTTTCTCGCATTTCTTGCTCAAGCTTCAGTTCCTCCATAAAATTATCTATATTCCTTGACTTTCCCTTTTCCTTCTCCCTTGGTCTCTCCTCCTGCAAGTTGTATTATAGAAATCTAAGGTACAACTGTCACTACTAGAAAAGAATAAAGCACAAAGATCTAGGAACCTGATCTACAATAAAACATAATAACCTAAAAGTAAATCAACAAAACACACTAACCTTCTTCTCAGGTTCTTTTCCCTTGGTTGCCAAAGGAGGTGGAATAAAAGATGGAACATACCTGAAAAGAAAAAAATTAGACTTCCATTTCACAAGAACAAAGCAATTACTTCAACAGAAACTGTTTTACTGTCCCAATTGAGAGTAATCTAGACCTCCAAGAAATAAGCAACCATCACATGAGCTATATATCACAGTACTGCTAAAATTCTCATTTCTACGTCATTGTCAAAAACATCCTCCAATATATCAAAAATGTCACCAAACTAGTATCCCAACAAATCATAGATGCAGCCAAAAAAGAAAAAAAGACAGAGAGGTTCTAGATAGCTGGGACCAGCATTCCGTTATGGCCTTCTTAGCATAAAAAAATGTTAAATATTTCTTAATGTCAAGATTCAAGTCAGGGTTACAACAAGGAATTAATTCCCTAACTTTAACAGTGTTGAAAGAAAATTCCTAACAAGCCCATAATATCAAATAAACTTAAAATAATGTATAACCCAAACAGATGGGTTGGCTAGTGGGCTAACTAAACCCATTAAGACTACATGAGGTGTCCCATACAGGACTTCCCTCTCTTTAAGTGGGAAGGCCAGGTGTCCTTTACCTAGGGGAGGGAGTAGTTGCATACCTACCTCACTCCCTATTTAATCTCCTTAGAGTTGTGTCTTAGAGGATAAGACTCCTAGAGAATCCTAAGAAAATCCATAGTAAACATAAAAGATAAAGAGAGGTTTTTGAGAAGAAAGAGGAAGACAGAGAAAAGCGAAGTCCTCTCTGGCAAGTATCTCCTATGTGTCTTCTATTTCCACATTACATATTGTTCTCCTTCTCTCTTTCATTTACTCGCAAGTCATAAGAAAGAAAGTAGAGGAAAAGAAACCATCCACCACCAGGTGCTTCTACTTGCTTGATTATGGTTCCTCTACCAAAACAGGTTAGGGATTAAGCCATCTACAACCTTATTCCCAAATGCTGATTATGGTTCCTTTCAAATGCAGATGAAGAAAGGAGGGATAAAAGTCATCTATAGTCAAATGTTCAATTTGACTGACTATGATTCCCTTCCGATGTGCAAGTCCAGGAAATTAATGAATTTACAATCACAGTTTTGTCCAATTGACTATGGCATATAGTGAAAATATGATGTCATAAAGTCTCTCAATTGTAATTTTTTCATTTCTCATTCTTGTACACTTAAAATATGTAAAGAAATGAAAATGAAAATATCATTTCTCTAAGTCAGAATCAAATCTCTGCTCTGCTGCAGGGATGTAATTAAGGGGAACAATCTATGTGATTCCCTGAATGGGCCTTACCCCCACCCCCACCCCCCAAAAAAAAGGAACTCAATCATTAGATTGAGTGAATTATGTTGCATAAAATTTTCTTAAAATGTTTACACCAACAAACAGGAAGCATATTAGGATATTCTCTTTGAGACATCAACAAGAAAGTTCAAAGCCTGAATTCTGATTATTCAGAGTTATGGCTGTCAACATGTCACTGGCCTTACAAAGGGTAACCTCCATCCTAGTATCCTCTTTTCTTTTTGATAATTAACAATGTAACTTTATTGATTTAGAGAAAGCTTGGCATACATATCCATCCTCATTTCCAGATATAAAGCATAGCTTAGATAGAAACAACATTCTGAACCCATTCTTCCAACAAATTCTGATATTTACCAATTGACTGCTGATAATTTGCTAGAGTTCCCAAGAAGTCATTCTAAGTCCTTTACCAAGCTACTGGTTGTTTTTGCATATGTTTGTATAGATTGGCCCTCTTTGTGGGGTTACAGCCACACGACTTTCCCTTCCCAAGCCTGTGGGTGTTCATTATACAGTTCAAACCGCAAAACCGAACTGAACCAAATCGAATTTGCAGTTTGGTTCACTTTATACCTATAACCAGTTTGATTCATTTGAGAATTTTTTAAATTACAGTTTATGGTTTCAGTTTGGTTTATTAAATTATATAAACCGAACCAAACCGTAAACCAAAATTATATAAATATATAATATATCTAAATGGAGTGCATAAAATTATAAATATATAATGAACTCTTTATTTTATAATAAAAATAGTAAATAAAAGTTTTAAGTTTTAATTTTTAGGGGAGCTATTTGGGCTTTCTAATTGGGTTAAGCCCAAAAAAATCATAGAATGGTTCAAAGTCCCAAAAACTGTATTAGATATCGTACCAAACCATAATAAAACAGTTTGGTTAGGTTTCTATACGAAAACGGTTTGGTTTGGTAGAGAAATTTCTCCAACCGTAATTTACTGGTTTGGTTTGAGATCTCCAAACCACACCGAACCGGACCGTGAACACCCCTATCCAAGCCCCATGGCTTCATGTTCATAACTCGTATATTTCCAATTGTAATTTTATTATATTAATGCATGACAAAATGAGAACGAAAGTGAACAAGTGTAAATGCAAGGCCCTGAAATTTTATACATGAATAGGTAAATAGTTTGCTGCCTAGCACCCTCAATTGAGCTCCTAGGAGAAATGTACAAAAATGACCCTAAGTTCAGCAGCAAATCACCCCAAAAGGGAAAACTCCTTGATGCCTCCACTCCTCAACTATCTAATTTATTAACATGGTCTTCAAGGCACAACAGAGCTAACACATATATAAACAACATGAACTCATCCCACGAATTCCATGTCCAAACTCGTTCTATATATGCTAAAATCACAACACAATTGCTGGTTTTCCATACTCTTCCAATCCCCGATGTTCCTGAGTTACCTAATGCATTCCAATTGAAGTTAATCCAATGGACTTCACACTGGGAAGGTCCATGGTAACATCATCCAATCCTTGATGCAGCATCCTCAACCAGTAACACAGGGACTTCCAAGATGGGGGAAGTATTCAGAGTTTTGTTTTATTTAGAAAGTATTCAAAGATGACAAAGGCCTCTTGGCCTTGTATTTGGGACCAATTGACTAATGACAAGGGTGACGATAGAAGCTGTTTTACATAGTCTGAGCCTAGCCAAGCAACAGAACTATAAAAAGATTGAGGTGAAACCAGATTACAAAATTATTTTCAAAATATATATTTTGCAGTCAAATTATTTTTTTGTTAAGGGCATTTCAGTAATATATCTATTTGTCTTATTTCCAGTGTTTAGAAAACCGGATCAGACTGGCCGATTGAACCGTGACCCGGGGCACTGACCGGTTCGGTCACACCCCAAAAACCAGGTGACCATCCGGTTTAACCGATGAACCAGTCCTGGTTTCATGAAACCGCATGGGTCCATACATAAGTGAAATTTTAAAATGTTGTTAACAAGATTTGAACCCAAGACCTCTTATTTTCACAGATTACTTAATTACCACTAATCCACCTCTTTATTTATGCTAATTAATGACCTATTTATCTTTATCTTGCCAAACACAATAAGAAAACATGAGACGATAAGCACCAGTTGGACCTCCTCCTTTGAAGAGCCTGATAATACAACCTTCTTTGCTGATGTTTCTACCCTCTCCCAATGCTTCTGACTCCAGCAGCATAAATTAGCCTCTTCATAATAGTAATAATATAGGAAACACCCAGAAGAAAGCAAAGTAAAATTGAACCTTGATGGGAGCTCCTTGGTAACCCAGGTAATGGCAGGAATAGGAGAGGTAATCAGAAACTCTGAGAACAGGATATTGGCTCTATTTTCAGGACCAATTGGCATGGGAAACTCCCTGAAGCCTGAATTATTGGCATTGCTGCAAGGTCTTCATTTAGCAAAGCAACTGAGTTATAGACAGGTGGAGGTACATGGGGATTCAAAAGTAGTTATTTCATGGGCAAACTGCAATAGACATATCCCATGGACTCCCAAACATGTTTTAAGGGAAGTGGAAAGAATTGTTAAAGACAAATGCTGAATTCAAGTGCACAACAAGGAATGCAAATGGTTTAGCTGACCCCCTTGCCAAACAAGAGGTACTGAAGCAACAAATTGAAGGTGACTCTAAACTGGTAGCAGAGATTGCTAGAAAGTTGAGCAATGAGAGATTGCTAATTGAAGATGACTCTAAACTGGTAATTGGATGGTTGAAGGAACTAGAGAGAATGGCTTAGTCCCATAAGGAGTCTTTGTGAAGATTCAAGTGGCTAACAACAAATATGACAGTAAGTTTTCAATGGGAAAGGAGATTGACAAATGGGTTGGCAGATTTTTCAGCTACACAAGGGGTGCATTTTTTTTTTTTTTTTTGAAAGTACAAGGGATGCATAATAATCAATTATTTTGGGCTCAACTGTAATTTTGGTTTTTGAGGTTGCATCTGCACAAAGCCTTTATTAGTAACTCTCTTTATGAATTTTAATAAACCATCTATTACTTATCAAAATAAATAAATTCAAACTTCAATATTGCCTTAAATGTAGCACTTAATTAAATTTAAGATAATATTCTTAAGCATAGCATTTAATTAAAAGCGAGGTAAATTTGAATTTGAATAATTGCCTTAAATATATAGAAGCTAGAGAGAGAGAGAGAATAGGCAATATAATAAAACCCATAATATATTGCTGGTACATTAAGTGTATCAGTAGGTATCAGGCCTATATTGGTCAAATATAGACCCAAAACGACCCTATAAAGGCTTGTACAATGTTTTAAAAGCACAAAGTGCAAAAAAAGCGCAAGGGCCAATTTGCGCATGAGGCGCAAGTCGCAAGGCGAGGCCACACCTTTTTACAAAGGCGCAAAATTACAAAAAAAAAAAGCTAAAAAATCAAAAAAAAAGTCAGAAAATTCAAAAAAAAAATGCAAAATTTTCAAAAATTATTAAACATAATGTTAATAAAAATATATAAACTTAAATTTTAAAATAAATGATTTAAAAACCTATTATCTAAAATTAAAATACATAAACATAACATGTAAAGTGTATTCAAATGAAAATTTAAAAGCAAGCATATAAAGCATTTTCAAGCATGTAAAACCCACAATCTCTTTTTTTCCTTAATTGCATTGCTTCAAGTAGTTAATGTGATGTAAAACATATTGCATTCTTGATTCTATGAGTCA